ATTCTCTAACATGACCAACAGCCCTTCATTGAGTTTCTGAGATGGTAAATCTTTATGAAAGGAGACTACTTATGTCTCTTCCAAGGAGTATCAGGTGGATTGGCAGAGTTGATCTTCCAGTTAGCAGCTTCATACATTACAGACTATGCTTTGTTGGTTTAATGGCCAAAAACCTCAAATAACTTTTCATGTCAAGACTGAAAATAGAGTTATGACTCCTGCTTAGATTTTAGCCGTCCATAAACTAAGTGCTTTAGAACTTAAACTGTAATACTGATACTACTTTGGCAGTATTACTTTGGGCATTTAGTGATTAGTTTGTCTGTCTTCTCTTATTTAACTAAGTTCTAAAGTTGGAGACAGTGATGAAACTTGTTTGTTGTTGATCTGACTCATCGCAATCAAACCCTGTAGTGCGTAAGCCCATTTTTGAAGTCATTGTGTCAGTTCATCTTATTGAGAGGTTATCAGTCTTTTGCTGACCCTCTTGTTTTCCCCAGCATGATGTCCTGCTAAGGGACTGGCCCCTCCTGTTAATAGATGCAAAATATGTGAGACAAAGTTTCACCATCCGTGCCTCTAAGGAGCACTCTGAACACACTTCCTCCAGGACAGATTTGTTTGTTGTTTTCACAGTCCATGGAATAGTCAGTATTCTTCACCAATACTGTAATTCAGAGATATCAGTTCTTCCATATTCACAATCCAACTTCAATGAATACAGTGCACTTTACTGTTTGAAGTGACATCTTTGCTTTTTAAAGAGATTTTTGGCAGCGAATTTGCTTAATGCAATATTATTGAAAACCCATCATGAAATTTTTATATATTTTCTTTACTTTTTCACCTTTCCACTTCATCTTAGAGAAGTCAGAAGCTCAAAAATGTTACTTCAAAATGCTTTTGAAAAAAATCTATTAAAGACTCTCCAGAAACCTACATATTAAAAATTATTAGAAGGTAATAAGATCCTTATTAAAATGAGGTAAGGAAATCGTAAGGTCATATTCACCTATTCCAAAAGTTACCTGATTCCTTACCTTTACAGCACTTCCCCCACCTCTGCTTATCTAGACTGTCTTACTTTACACTATTCCAGGAGAAAGTAAAAAGACACCTAGATATAAATATTCATTGTCATTGTTGTTAGGCACTGTTGTGTCCAACTCATACCAAGCCTATGAACAACAGATCTGAACCCTGTCTTATCCTGTGTCTTCCTTATCATCTCTGACATACAGTCCATTGCTACAGTCATTGTGTCAGTTCATCTCATTGAGCGTTTCTTCTCCTTTGCCGATCTGCCCTCTACCTTTCCTAACCTAATATCCCTTTCTAGGAAATGGTGCCTGCTGACAGCATGCCCAAAGTATGTGAGATGAAGCTTTTGTTATCCTTGCCTCTAAGGATAGCACTTTCCCCAAGACATTTGTTTGTTCTTTTGGCAGTCCATGGGATAATCAGCACTCTTCTTCAACACCATAGCTCAAAGGCATCAGTTCTTCTGTCATCCTTATTGTTGGATGCATGTAAGATGATTGTTGACAATTTCAGTCTTTTCTCTAACTCATAATATTGCCTACAAGCCTTGTGATGAGGATTTTTATTTTCTTCATGTTGAGATGCAAACAGATGTTTCGAGTTCTCCTCACTTAAACAAGCAAGGTTGTGTCGTTTGTACAATGCAGGTTGTTGATGAGTCCTTCCTCTGATCCTCATACCACATTCTTCTTCATAAAATCCAGCTTCTTTAATGATTTTCTCAGCATACAGATTAAAACAGAAAAAAAGATGGGGGGGAATACACAAAGTTACTGCACCCCAAAAAACTGGTAGAGATTGAAATATTTCAGGAAGTAGTATATGATAAAGAACACTGAGGATGAAGAAAGATGTTCTAGCTGCATTAAAGGCATTGGTAAAGAGTCTGTGGGACACTGAGTATGCTTTTCCAACAATACAACTCAAAAATATCAGTCCTTCTTCTCTCATCCTTATTCACTGTCCAGCTGTCAGAAGTATAGCAAGTGGTTTTAAAGACCATGGCCTGACTCACATGCACCTTAATCTTCAAACTGATATTATAATTCTTCAATAACTTTTAGAGGTTCCTGACTGCAGTCTTTCCCAGGGCAATATGTTCTGATTTCCTGACTGCTGGTACTAAGGGTATTGTGGATGCAAGTAAAATTAAATTGTTGACAATTTACATTTTTCTCTAATAACAGTATTTAAGCCACTTTTACAAATCATACATCCCAATTCATTGATAAGACTTGTAATTCCAGAACATTTAATTATGCTCTATATGAAATCTATCTGTACTCAGAAGCTGTTGTCTGAACAGAGCAAAGGAACACCCATGATTTAAAATAGGAATGGTGTGTGTCAGGACTATATCCTTTTATCATACATATTCAATTTTTATGCTGAGCATATCATTAGAGAAGCTGCAATTTATGAAGAAGAGTGTGATATCAGAATTGGAGGAAGACTCATCAACAACCTGCATTATGCAGATGATACAACCTTGCTTGCTGAAACAAAGGAGGAGCAGAGGTATTTGCTACAGAAAATCAAAAGCTGCAGCCTTCAATGTGGATTACATCTCAACATCAAGAAAACACAAACTCTAACCACTGGTCTGATAGATTGATGGAGAAAAGATTGAAATTACCAACAATTTCCTTTTACCTGGATTCACAATCAGCACTGTTGGTACCAGCAATCAGGAGATCAGATGAATAGCATTAGGTAAATCTGCTAAGAGGTATGCCAGTTTAAAGACTAAGGTACACCTGATTCAAACCATACTCAGTCCAGTCACTTGCTATGTATGTGAGTGCTGGATAATGAATAAGGATGATAGGAGAAGAATCAATGCATTCAAGTTGTGGTGTTGGAGAAGAGTACTGAATATCTAATGGACTGCTAAAAGAACAAACAGATATGTCTTGGAGAAAGTGCAAACAGAGTGCACCTTGGGGGCAATGGTGAAGCTTTGTCTCACATACTTTGGACATATTATTAGGAGATTATGTTCCTTACAAAGGGATACCATGTTGGATAAGGTGGAGAGTTAGTGACTTAAGGAAATTCCATCTTCCTCACTAAGGTGGATTGATACAGAGTCTGCAGCTAATGGGCTCAAATGTATTGGAGATAAGGATGGCCCATGATAGGATAGGAGGGTTCAGATCTGTTGTTCATAGTGTCACTATGAGGCCTGCTCAGCTTGACTCCATGACACCTAGCAACAAACAACAGCAACAAGTGACTTGCACCAGATGGTTTGCTTAGTAGAACAGAAAGCAGCTCTGTTCTGACAACTTTATTGTAAGTTAGTTCCATCTCTTGTGAGATGGTTCCGAGGTAAGTTGAATGTTTTTTTTTCCTCTACCAGTTTTCCATATTATTGCCTTTTATTATCAATATTGTTAGAAATCTGATCTTTGAACATCTGTAAGTGAACATCAGAGAGTGATAATGCCAGCAGATTTCATATTTCAACATTTTATGCAGTCCATATAAACTATTTCTTTTAAAAAAAAACACACCTGACTTCATGAGTTTATCTTAGTGATTTAGTGTATTAACTCTTGTTGTTGTTCTTAGGTAAGTATGACTCATAGTAACCATATGAATAACAGATCTGAACCCTATCCTGTATTGTGCTATCCTTACTTCCTGACACATTGTAGCCCACGGTAGCAATCACCATGTCAGTTCACCTGGTCAAGGGTCTTCCTCTCCTTCACTAACCTCCTTTTCTGAATATCATGTCTCTCTCCAAGGAATAGTTCCTCCTAGCAACCGCCTTAGGTATGTGAGGTGAAGCCTCATCATGTTTGCGTCTAAAAGAGCATTCTGGCTGCACTCTCTCCAATACATATTTGTTCTTTTGACCACCCATGGGATGTTCAGGGATGTCTTAACTCTAATAAGTTATAAATTGGGAGCTACCTTGTTGAACTTAAATCCTACAACTCATTGTCTTCTCTAATTCTCAGTATTCTAGGTATAAAATTACTTGTGTAAAATGCCAGAGATGCCCTAGCTTTATAATTTTTTTTTTTGTTGTGTTGGACAATACCTGAAACAAATGTTTTTACTTCTTATAGACATACATGCAAATAGTAATTCGATTTACAAGTGGCTAAATAAATTTTAAAAAATAGAGGACTGAGTTGAACAGTTTGTGAGAAACAAGAATTTGGTGTTTCAATGGACATTACTAGATTGATTTATTCATTCATTTTCATGATATATTCCAAGGTGTCCCTTGGGAAAATTATGAGAATTTTTTTCCTTCTGTTTATTTCACTGAATGTTTTTAAATCATGATTTTTCATTCAAATACATTTTGTTTTACAGCATTGTAGTTACAGTGTCACTGGATGACAAAATGACCCTTTTTAAATAAAAACAGAATTTAAAAAGATAATACTGTCAAGTTCAATATGTGAGTAATTTTATCCACTTTTCTAGGTTGAAGGAAACCAACATTTTCTCATTAATGATCATACTATTTATAATACAGTCAATTACTTTAATTCTACCTTATTTCTGACATGGAAGATGTTTGTGTTTAGCGGAAATTTTCTTTTCTGAAACCTTGTTTTAGTAATGCCAACTGTAATGAACTTTGTCACATAAAGAATATTATATGAAAAAAATCATTAGGCAGTTGTGCAACATAACTTTTAGTGTACCTCTTCAATTATCTATCATTTATTTTATGGTACCTTAGTAACTCAGTGGGTTAAACATTGTTGCTTGCTAGTTTGGTTTATTATTTTCAAGCCATCAGCTCCCATACAAGAACAAATGTGGTCATCTGCTGCTTCAAGATTTACAGCCTTGGAAACCCACGGGGCCAGTTCATTCTGTTGTCTAAGGTGCTGTGTGCTGGAATGGTCTTAGGAGCATTTAGTATTCATATCATGAAAAGTATTTTGCATATTAGCTGTTTAATTGTTTTTTTTCTCCCTCTTTATTAGGAATTAGAGATCTCATATTGCTTTGTGGCCAAATTTTCTTACTACTTGCTGTTCTTACTTTAATAATTTCTGTGACTACCTCATGGCTTAAATCATTTAAACGTTCCCAAGTCTGTCTGAAAGGTAAGTATTCTCCATGCTTCCCTTTTATACTTAAATGTCTGTATTTATAAATTAATTTATTGGTTTTTTATATTCTAGAGCTTTACACAGTAATAACCATCTTACATTCATTTGTAATGTATAATTTCAAGGTAGAAAAATAATTACTATTTTGGTTATAATTTTTATAATGGGTTATAAATCCCAACATTTTCATGAGAAACTATACATTTTCCTTATATGTAGTTTACTAAGTTGGTACATTTTCTATAAACTCATTAATTTTGAGTTGTCTTTGTGCTTTTTAACTGCTGTTACAGCCTAGTCTATGAAAATGATCTCATTGATCCTTGCAGGTTATTACCCTGCTTATTTTTCTTTCCATTTATAAGTCTTACTGAGGCACCTCTTTTGTATAGTTAATGCTCTTAATTTTAGAAAATCAGGCTTGTTCTTATTTTTATGTTTCTTGGTTTTTATTTAAATATTCCTTCAGTCTTTTTCATTTTACAAGTTTGAGATTATTTTAGAACCAGATTTTTTCCTATTTTCAATTTTCTAAATTACTTTTTCTGTATTTTATAATTTTCTAAGAGATGCTTCTTAATGGCTATAGATTATTATATTTCATTTAACCATTTCTCATACTCTTGATGACTGTTTACATTGAGCCTAACTGTAATACACTTTAAGAACACTTCTTAGATGACTGGAAACCCTAAGTCTCTGTAAACCTTCATTAAAATTAATAAAAAAAAAAGAGAACACTTCTTAGATGTAAAATTACTGACTCAAAGAGTAGGAATATTTCTTTAGGCAAACTGATTCGTACTTGTATTCATCAATTCATTAGAACTTCATAATTGTGATTTGTGTGTATGTGCTCGTGAGGGTTGTAAGAATATACATACATATATATGTATTTGCCATTTCAACATTTTTTACATGGACAGTTGACTGACATAGCTCTGTTTATGATAATCATGCTATGCGATTTGCACCAATATCTCCTTCTGAATATTTTCCATCACTTTTAACAGAAACTGAGACATTTTTCATTTGGATAATTTTTTTTTAAGTTCTAGAAGCCTTTTAAAATTATGTTGTAGTTAGTTCCAGAAAAGATGAATCCTAATAGTAAATTCTCTGGTTTTTTATATTATTATTAAGAAACTTGCAGTAGTATACTTGGTTGTCTGTTTTACTATTTATTTATATAAATAATTTAAAAGGAAATGTACTGTTTAATTTATAGCCATTTCTGACTAACCTTAAAGAAAATCATAAGCCTAAAAAATAATGTCATTTGACTAGGCCATGAAGACATTGGGTACAAAGTCTTTCATTCTGAAATTTTTAAGCTTTTTAATTTTTTCGTTAGCAGATCTTATGTTTGAAATTACTCATGGAAAACAATGTGAACACTAATTTATTCTTAGAAAGTTTATATTAAATATCTTTTTATATAAGAAGGGTATCTGCTGTATACATAAAACTATTAGGTAAGGAATTCTATTTGGTATTTTATATAAGGGAAACATACACTTGTCACAGTTCTACTCTAAAATGTACATTATTTTATTGGAAGCCATTTTGTTGCATTTCTTTGATTGATAATTGTGAGATATAATCAACACTAATGTGAGTACCTAGTCATAGGCCATAGGGGTTTGGTGTAGTCCAGAGGGGGTTGGCATAGTCCACAGGAGGTTGGCATGGTCCATAGGGGGTTGGCGTGGTCCCTAGGGGGTTGGCATGGTCCATAGGAGGTTGGCGTGGTCCATAGGAGGTTGGCGTGTTCCATAGGGGGTTGGCGTGGTCCATAGGGGGTTGGCGTGGTCCATAGGGGGTTGGCATAGTCTACAGGGAGTTAATGTAGTCCATAGAGGGCTAGTGTAGTCCACTGGGGGTTGGCGTAGTCCATAGGGGATTGGTGTAGTCCATAAGAATTTGGTGTAGCCCGTAGAGACTTGTGCCTCTAAAACAAAGGTGGTGCCTCTCTGGCATTTTGATTCCACCAGCAGCTTCTCAGGAGAAAGATGGACAGTCTCCTTTCGTGTGGTTTACAGCCTCCAAAAACTGCTAAGAGTGTCAGCTAAATGTCCATTCTGACTTGACAGCAATGAGTTTGAGAATGTATAATCATGATTAATATTGTGGATAGAGCCTATTATTGGGAACTTTTCCTTAAATCCCTCAAAACCCAACTTATTAGGCAGCTCTGGTGGCCTAGTGGCAAGAAGCTGCACTGCAATCCCAGAGGTACAGGGTTCAAATCCACCAGATGCAGGGGAGCTCTGGTGGCCTCGTGGCAAAGAGCAGCAACTACAATCCCAGAGGTGCACGGTTCGAATCCATCAGATGCTCTGCCGGGGAAGGAGGGACAATCTCCTCCTGTACCAGTCAGATTCGATTTGACGGTACACACACACACACACACACAAATAATTAAAAAAAAAAAAAAGAATGCTCATAGACTTCCTGTTGTTCCTGCTATTATATCAGATATCAAAATACAAGTATTTTGATTAATCCAAAACTTTACTCTTCCTTATTTTTAACACTCTCATTCTCAAAATCAAAACCCACTCTTTGGAGTTGATTTTGACAAAAATCAACATTTTTTTTAAAATTTTTTCATTCATTCATTTATTCATTCACTCATGTATGTATGTATGTATTTATTTATTTTACAAGCCCTTTCATTGAGTTTCTAAGACTGTAAACCTTTGTACAAGACTACCCATCTTCCTGTGGATCACCTACTGGTTTGAACTACTGACCTTTAGGCCTTTTGCTTAGCAGCCCAGCAGATACAATATTAAGCCACCAGCGCTCCTTTGTTTTGTAAAAAGGTTTTGCAAGATTAGAGTCATCAAAAAGTTCAGAAGTCATTGCTTAGTAGTTGTAAGGATTGTATCTGAGTACTGATTTATTTGAAAAATTATATTCTTTGACTTACATGGAATGCTGGTTGTGTAGTGTGTAAGTATTGGGCTCCTGGAGCATATTGGGGGGGGAGTGTCACTGTGAGTCAGAATCAACTAGCAGCTATAGAAAACACCCCTAATACTGATTCAGTCTTTAGAGTAGTTGCCAAGCACAGCCCACTTTTGGGGAATACATGTTGTTTCTACTGCCACATCCAACAGCGAGTCTTGATTCTTTGTAGTGCAGTGCTACAAGTTTTATATGTAGTCATGGGCGTCCTTGCTGTGCCTGGAGCAACTGATGCCCTATCCGGTCTGTGGAAGAAAATCCAATGGAAAATCCAATCTTAAGGCCTCTCTACAAAAACTTTAAGACTCACTTTTAATACACGTTAGAGAATATGTGTTTCAGAATCAAGTTTTTGTTGTAGATTTTACTTTTTGATTTGTTTTACCTTCTTGCATGTATTGCATGTTTTATTATTTGAAGAATAGAACCTGTTATAATAAGGCCTCTTTTATTGTTCAAAATGTAAAAATCTACAGGCTGTTTTTCAGAGAAAATACCAATCAATTTATTGATACTTGGACATTCAAAAGAACTTTTATGTGTTGATTTCTTAGGTGAAGAAGAGGAGGAGAATGAGAAAAGGCGAAAACTTGTGAGAAAACAACAACAAGAGATACAGAGTGAAAAGGTAACACATACTTTCTAGAGCTTGTTTACAGAGAAAACACATATGTATCTGTGACACTAAAATCGCAGGACTGTTTACTTTCTATATATGTCAGGATATCTATCTATAATGAATATATTATGGATTGCTAAAAGAGCAGACCAGCCTGTCTTGGGGAAAGTGCAACAGGGGTGCTCCTTAGAGGCAAGGATGAAAAAACGTGGTTCCCATACTTTGGACATGTTGTCAGGAAATGCCAGCTCTTGGAATAAGATCACATGCTGGGAAACGTAGAGGGTCAGAGAAAGAGAAAGAGGGTCCGAGGAAGACCTTCAAGGAGGTGGATTGACACAGTGACTAACAGTGGGCTTGAGCTTGGCAGAGGTCATAATGATGGGGCAGGCTAGAGCAAGGTCCAGGTCTGTTGTTCATAGTCATAGTCGACCTGAAAGCACTTAATAACACCAGACATGTTTTAACATAAAATTAACATTTTAACAAGGGAAAAAAATATCCAAAAAGAATTAACCATTTTGAAGTATATAAATGAGTGATGTTTAAAATGACAGCCATCTCAATCTAATCCCAAAATATTGAATCACTCTCAAAATTTTGTACCCATTGTGCATTTGTTCCCCATTCCTACCCCACTCCCCACCCCAGTCTTTCTCTGTGTCTCTGGATTTACCTAACTTGGTTATTTTATATGTATTAAATCATACAGCTTGTGACCTTTTGTATTTGGCTTTTTGCTTAATGTTTATTCATGTTATAGCCTGTCTTAGGGAGCTCTGGTGGGGAGTTGTGCTGCTAACCTGAAGGTCATGCCACTCTGACAGTTCAGATCTGCTAGTGGTTCCTCAGGAGAGAGATAGACGATCTCCCACGTGATTTACAACCTGACAGCAGCGAGTGAGTGAGTGTGTTAGTGCTTTATTACTTTTTTATGACTGAGTAAAGTGTGTAGGTATACCTAAAAGTAAATAAGTGTAGTTATAATAAAAAGTATAGGAAGACCCTGGATGAGACGGATTGATTCAGTGGCTGAGGTAGTGAGAGTAGGTGTGTCAGAGACAATAAGATTGGCACAGGGTAGAGTAGGGTTTATGGCTGTTGTACATAGGGTCGCTATGAGTCACAGGCAACTCGACAGCACATAACAACAACAACATAGGTATTCCATTGTCTAGATAGACCTCAATTGCTTATCTTTTCATCTGTTGCTGGACACTTGGGCTATTTTGTTATTCTGAATAGTGTTGCTATTATGAACATTCCTGTCCAAGTATTTGTTTGAGTCCCTGTTTTCAGTTCTTTTGGAAATTTACCAAAGTGTAGAATTGCTGTGCTAGATTGTGATTTGGTGTTTAACTTTTTTGAGGACTTGTCAGACTTTTCCACTTTTCCTTTCCTTCTGGCAATAGATGAAGATTCCAGTTTTGCTTTATCCTTTCTCAACTCTTGTTTCTGGTTTGTTTGGTTTTTCCTCTTAAGATATAGCCATCCTAAAAGGCTGTGAAGTGGTATCTCATAATGATTTTGATATGTATTTCCCGAATGACCAGTAATGTTGAGCATCTTTTCATGTGCTTATTTATTGGCTATTTGTTTATCTTCTATGTAGAGATGTTGTTGGAGTTGTAGGAGATCTTGAAATATTCTGGATATTAGGCCTGTATCAGATATATATCACTTGCAAATATTTCTCCCATTCTAGGTGTTGTCTTTCACTTGCTTGATAATACTATTGGTTGTATTAAAGTGTTTAATTTTGAGGAAGTCCTTTTTATCAGAGGGGATTTTTTTCCTTTTTGGTTCTGAAAATCTGTTGCTACATTCAAAGACATGAAGATTGATCCTTATGTTTTCTTCTAAGAGATTTTTTTGTATTAGTACTTGTTTTTAGGTTATCAATCCAATTGTGGTGTGAGGTATAGGCATTCATCTTCACTCTTTTGTATGTAGACATCTGCTTCCCCCAGTACCATTTGGAATATGGAGTGGAACTTAAAGGCCAGTTACTAGCATTCTTAATCAAATAGGAGAAAGAGCCTGACAGATCTTACCTTTCAGTATGGACATTTTCACCTACTTTCTTCTTTGTTCTCTTCTCTCCACTAAGCCTAGCCTCTTTTGAGCCTGAACCTGGAACCTCTCTGATTCTTTTTCCCAGAGAATAAACTTGTCATACGTGGCATACAGTGAGATAGTGACTCTAGAAATCTAATTCTTTCATTCTTTTTTTGTTGTTATTTTTCCTAAGTACTTTCAAGTGTAAACGATTATAGATTTAAATAAAACTGATTGTCATCAAGTCATAAGCTGACCTTCCAGTAGGGTTTTCATGATCTTATTTTTTTGTTTTTATTTTCATTCACTCATTCATGTACATTTTGTTTTTTTTAAATTTCTTATGCAAATTTCACCCCACATTTTACTTCATTGACATTATGTTTCATACAGTCATTCCCATACATAGTACTTTATAAAATTAATCACCACTGGACTATGCCCACCATTATCCTGACTTCTCAGGTTTCTGCTGCATCTTTCCCACTTCCTCTACCTGCTGTCTCCACTCACCAAATTTTGTGACCTTGTGATTCCCCCCCAGCCCTTCCTCTTCCCTCTATTTCCAAGCATGATGGCCCTCTTTTGTTCTTTTCACAGCCCTCAGAATATTCAGTACTCTTCTCTAACATCACAGTTCAAAAGCATCAATTCTGTCATCTTTATTCACTGTCCAACTGTCAGATGCATAGCTGTAATTAAAAAGATCATGGCTTGCTTCAGACACACCTTAATCTTTAAATGGACATCCTTGCTCTTCACCACTTTGGAGAGGTCCTTGACTAAACTATCCCTGTACAACAAAATTCTTGATTTCCTGAGTGCTGGTACAAAACACTGAGCCCTGTTCAGCACCAGAAGTGTTGATGATCACATACACAGACAAACTTGACTTGATACAAATGCATTTATATATAAAGTTCCTATTGAAAAGTTCATAAACAGTGTATACATGTTGGGGAGCATTATCCAAAAATGTTTGGAACAGTATGCCAACAGAGCACTGCCAGATGTGCTGGCTTGATTTAGAAGAGGTCACGCACGGTACTAGGCATATTATAGCTAATGTTAGATGGATCTTGGCAGAAAGCAGAGAATACCAGAAGAATGTCTATCTGTGCTTCACTGACTATGCAAAGGCTTT